TTTCCTAGGCTTGCCTGGCACTGTGAAACACAGGAATGACTCCCAGATGAGAGCACAGCTAGACAAGGGGCCTAGAAACACTTTAGGAAGGGCTCCTTGGAGAACTGTATTTTTGGGAAAAGAGGAATGTCTTCTTTCCCAGAGTTTTCCTTTGGTCCCTGTGATAAGGCTATTTTCAAAGCCCCCATCAGAAAGGAGGCAAGAGAAGCTACTAGGGATTGCACCTAGATCTGTCTATTGAACTAATACCAATGTTTCTGCTCCCTCTCTGTCACCCAGCATTCCACCTTCACTCAAACCATGGACAGGACAGTCCTTTGACAAGACAGCAACAAATCCAGGGCAGTGGTGCCACCTATAAATCCAGCAACTTGGGAGGCTGAGGCAGGAGGATTGCAAGTTCAAAGCCAGCCTCAGTAATAAAACATAGATGGTGTGGTCCACGATGGTCCAATGAAGGAGGTTTGCTCAACAGGGTGAGACAGGCTTCCACAAGACAGATTCCTTCTAACATACAGGGCAGTTGCTGTGCTACCTGCAAGAACGGGAATGCCACCCACACCCTGGAACTGCCCCTGACACACAGACTGCCAGGAGTCTCTCTCTGCCAAGGGTGAGACCTAAAGGTTTCAGGATCCCATCTCTGATCCAAGGGCACTTGAAGGGTACACTAGGAACAGATCCTAAACTTGGGGATGGGCAGGGAAGCTGGTCCCTAGCCCTCACATCGGCTTCACACTCTGACTTCCCAGTCCCTGATGGCCACTACATGAACTGAGAAGACACCAGGTGCCCCATCTCAGCTGGCTTCCAGCCTGCAGGCTAAACACAGGCTGGAGGAACACTAGATGCCCCTTACCCCATTCCTCACTCTCTATTCATGAAAAATCCAATAGCTTCCAGGACCATATCCAAATACGAAGTCTGTAAGGGTAGAGGAAAGGCCACAGCCAGTCCTATAAGGCCCACAGCTGAAGTCTCTATGCTTTCCTCCCCTGCCACCTTCCAGAGCATCTAGCCTGGAGCTGGTAAGAACCTGACCACCCGGCCAGCTTAGACTCTCCTCAGCATGTGAGTGGTGCCAGGCACAGCTTCCTGGGACGAGCCAGAGACAGGGCTGCAGGGTGAGGTGGGCAGAAACAGAGCTGGCTGGTCTCTGGGAGCTCAACCTCAGGCTCTTACTGAGGGCAGCTGAGGCCTCTCCACATGCCTGTGGGGGAACAACAGACTCCCTGGGTAGGGTGGCAGCAGAAGACCTCAGTATAGTCTCAGATGTGCCCAGTGCCCAAAGGTGAGGAAGAGGAGCCAGATAGAGATGGTTCAGGTCTAACATTGATTTTCTGGGTGACCTTGAGAATGTCCCTTTCCATCCTGGGGGGCTGCTAGGTTCAGCAGGACAAAGTGGAAGGGGGGCTGGCCTCACTGGAAGAACAAGGCTGCTTTGAGAAACTGGAGCAGGCAGAGGAATGCAGGTTCTTGGAGGGGTGTTTGTTCTTTCCCGGGGCACAGCTGTCACCAGGCACCAGGCATCCAGCAGTGTGCCCAGGTGCAGCTGTTGGGGTTGGAACAACAGGGTATCTACACAGGAGCAGGTGGGTGCTGCTCCCCCTGCAGATGTCTGCGCTGGCACCCCAGGGGTCTGGCAGTCACAGGAGACTATAGGGCAGCCACCTGGGACTGGGAGGGTGGGGGCTGGGGGATCTGCAGGAGCCAGAGGTAGTTAACTCCTTCCACTCTTTTAAGTCCACAACCAGAAGCCACCTGTGATGCGTACAATGTCACCATACTCACCTTTGACAATGGCTCTGGCCCCCAGCTATACACCTACCCTGCAGTGATGGTACATCCAGACTCTGCTGCCTCAAGCCCTCAGCCTGGACTCCCAAGTCCAATCCTCAGTGCTCTCTGCCTCTGGACCCCTAACCTCTCCTCAGATCCTCCATTCCTTCTCACTGTTCCCTGAGACCCAATCTCAATGCCCGACTCCGAGGGACCTCAAGTTTTGTACTTTAGCACCCCAGTTCTGGACCCTAGGCCCCTCTATCCACATACCCCACCTTTCCCACCCCTCAAATCCAATGTAGAGGTCACAGAATCATTCCAGGAGTGCTCTCCTGACTTCCAGGTTTGAAGGCCCTGTGGAAACCACACACCAGGCATGTGCTCAGCTTGGGGACAGCACCACTCACAGGGTGCCCCACCACAAGGGCTATGCACTGCCTCAGTCCAGCATCTGGACACCTCACTATCTCACGAAGACCTGAAGTGCTGCTACTTCTTTGTTACCACTGGTAAGGGATGCAGGATGGGAGAGGCCAGACAGGGGCCCAGTGTCTAGGTCACCCCTCATGCCCACTCTGTAATAGTGTCTTCTTGTGCCAGAGCAGAACCACAAAGATGCAGATCCTGGAGCAACAGTCCAAGATGGAGAAATGAACCCAACTGCTCAGGGCCCCTGCAGCCAGCTCCAGGTCCTTGTAAGCCCATCCCTCCAACTTTGGTTTGGCCTACACTAAGCTCTGCCCTGTGGTGTGACCTCAGCCCCAGCAGGAGCAGCTGTCTTCCCTGATATTGGTTCATAGCAAATATTCCTTTTTATGCAATACTCCACAGCAGCCAGGCACGGTGGCACACGCCTGTATTCCCAGTGACTTGGGAGGCTGAGGCAGGAGGATCACATGTTCAAAGGCAGCCTCAGTAACTTAGCAAGGACCTAAGGAGCTTAGCAAGACTTGTCTCAAAATAAAAGGCTGAGGAAGTAACTCAGTAGTTATGTGCCTCTGAGTTCAATCCCTGGTACAAAAAAAAAAAAAAAGAAAGTAAAGACTACACAGCAGAAACTCCCAAAGTACCAACACAGGTTTACAGGTTCCCCCTTGTCCACTCCAGCAGAGACATGTCCAGGGTATCACCACCCACCCTGGCACTGCCAGATCCCAGGCGTGGCCCCCAGCACCATAGACAAAGGGCCTCCTGGGATGGCTCCTGTGGGAAGGCAGTGGGGAGGGAAGGGGCTTTGGAGTCAAGTTGCTGCTCCTGGCTTCAGGTTTCTTCAGATGGGGATAACATTCCTACCCTGGGTTCAAATCATGACTCTGTCACTTCCTTTTGGAAATATAGAAAAGTCACTTTTCACTTATCTTTGAGTAACAGCACCACCTATGGCACAAGGTGGTTGTGCACATTAAACAAAAATGCAGGGAAGGCATTCCAAAGAGCCCTGCAGAGGCACCAAGGGTGGAGCTGACACCTGAGCAGGGCCAACTTCTTCCCCTTGCAAAGACCTCCTCTGCACACCATCCTGCCCCAGACCCTCATCCTCAGCAGCAGGCAGCATCCCTGCCACTGCTATACTATGGAAGGGAGGAACCTAACGAAAATCACCCCTAAGTTTGAACTGAAGCATGTGTGAGGTACTGATTCGAGTCTCAGCACCACATATAAATAATTAATTAAATAAAGGTCCATTAACAATTAGGTAAAAAGAAACAAAAAGGCAAGTGGGGGGCTGGGGATGTGGCTCAGGGGTTAAGTGCACATGGGTTCAATCCCCAGTACCAAAAAAAAAAAAAAAAAAAAAAAATAAGGCCTAGCAGCAGAAACCACCTGGGGAAATCTAGTCCCTTTCAAGCCAGCACAGGTTCCACTAACAATTTGCACCCTTGCTCTCTCTGCCTGCCAACAGTGTGGCAGTTCAGCTAGGACTACTTGAGTGAAAAAGCTGGAATTGCAGCTGGAGCAGTTAAGGCTGAGGCCACGGCTAGGACAGAATGTGCAGGAGGTGGGCAGGAGGTGGACAGAATGTGCGGGAGGTGGGCGGGAGGAGGCCCTTGGCCACGGCCTTCCAGCTTTGGCTCTACTGTGCAACAGAGGATGGACACTTAAAGAAAACTGAGCTGGGCAAAGTGGCACGTGTCTGTCTGCAATCCCTGCAACTTGGAGGCTGAGGCATGAGGATCACAAGTTCAAGGCCAGCCTTGGCAGTTTAGTGAGACTGGGCAACTCAAGTGAGACCCTGACTCAAAAAAAAAAAAGGGGGGGGGGGGGGGGGGGGGAGGGAGGAAGGGAGGAAACAAACTTCTGCTTGGGATTGAGACTTCCTTAAAGGAACTTCCTTAAAGGAAACTGTGTGGCCAGGGGCAGAATTTTGTCAAGTTATATCATTAGACCAGCAAAACACTCTCCCTTCCCAAGGGTCACAATACCTTTCTTTGGACCTCAAAGGCAGACACCAGCAGGAACCATCCTCTGGGTGCACCCCCACCCACAGGAAAGAGGTCACAATCTACAAAGCAGGTACCCACTGACAGCCATTAACCCCACTCCTCTTTCCCCAAACACTTCATGTTATCAGGGGCTCCACTGGCCTTCCTCTCCACCTAACATGTGCAGATCACCAAGGAGTAAGGTGAAGCTGGCCCTTCCTTTGTCCACAGGAAGTGCATCTAAGCTCCAGCTCAATGGCCCACTTCCTGACTCCCCTCTTAGCAAGCCCCAGCCCAGGAACTGGCAGAAGCCCCTCAGGGCAGACAGGCTGATCCTCTCCTGGCTCATAACTTTCTGGCCCTTCAGTCCTGACAGTTACCCTTCCTTTAAGCCTTTATCCCCCAGGAGGACAGCGAAGAGAGGAGGTATCTTTTTAAGAGACCAAGAATATTTGAGTAACCCAAAAAAGTAAAAGAGAGAAAACAAACACTATCTATTAAATTCCACACATGGACACTGGAACTTATGCTTGGCTGCAAATGTCAAATGTCACAATGCTTGGCTTAGGATTTGCTCCAGGATATAGAGTAGACATCCCTCAGTAGGACATCCAGAACTTCTGGGAAGTGACACAAACACATACATTTAGTCTCTGTTCCCACCTCTGGCTGTTTGCCCCAGACACCCAGCCCGCCTTCCCAGGAAGGGGCATGGGGCCAGTCTAGCCACGTGCCTCCCAAGGTTTAGGCCCAGTGCTTGCTGCCCATGGCACCCCAGCATCTGGAAGCCATCCCAGCAGCTGAACAAAGTGTCTTTTATTTGTGACATACAAATACAACCAATGCAAAAAAGAGATCACTTTTCCCTTTGATTCCAGTGATAACAAGTTGCTAAAGAAAAAAAATATATATCAAGAAGTTTATCTTCCAAGTTTTCTCTAAAAAAACCACAAAGGGTTAAAAAGAACCATACATATCTGACACCAACAAATAACCTGAAATAGAGCAGATACAACTTAAAAAAAAAAAAAAAAAAAAACTTAAAAATATATCTTAACATGCCCCAAACAAAAAAAAAAAAAAAAAAGGCCTGCTGTTTCTCAAAACCAAGACCCAAGGGAGGTGGAAACTGCCATCTGAGACATGAGGGCCCAACACCCACACCTGCAGTCTCAGCCAGTGCCTAACCTCCCAGCCTAACCTCCTGATGCCGCCTCTGGGACATGGCCTGCAGAGGTTGGGGGAAGCAGGGCATGGCCCTGAGCATCCCATTACCAATGACTGGAAAGAGACAACATAAACTGAGCTCACCTCAAATGGGGTCTATACTGGGTGTTCCTTTTGGTCCCCTTGAGTGGGAGGTATAGAAATTCATGATCTAAGACAATAAATATTTAGCACTCTGTACTTTGAGACAGGGATCAGACTCTTCCTAAACGTGCTCTTGTTGTTTTGTGATTCTTAGGAGTTTGCCAACCCCTACCCAAAAAGTTCAACTCTCACTGGGGTAAAACCCCAGGGAGCCAGCAGGCAAGGCGACCGTGGCCGTATCCAGTGTAAAGCTGCGAGGCCCTCTCCCAGGAGTGCCAGGCCCGCTGCTGGTGGGGTCGAGAGCAGCACCAGGCTCTCAGCAGAGGCCAGGCTGGGAAGCGAGGCCTCATGAGCACAGGCTGCTATGCAGGCAGGACTCTGGGTGAGAAGCAAGGACCACTCTAATGAGATCTGCCAGGACAGACCACCTGAGTAAGGGCAGAGGGTGGAGTGAGCAGACTCCAGCAGCAGAGGGGCTGACGGACCCCCAGGAGACAACTGCACAAAGGCTAGAACCTTCACGACATTCCCTGAAGCAAAGCTTGGGACGTCAAAAGGGAGGTGTTAGGTGCTTTTTCCTGGATAAAGATTTGGTTTTTCTTCTGGAAGAGGAAAAAGGCCTAGAGATCAGGATGAGTGTAAGTTCAGAGCCCACATCCTCTACACCTCTAAGAGGAAGGCCTTCTCCTCCCACTGCTCCAACCTGCTGACACAGGATGACACCAGAGAGAGAAAAGCAGAGCAGCTGTTTGGGCCACTGAAGGGCATTCCTGCTGCAGCTGAGCTGTGGCCTGGCTTGGCCAGGACAGTGGCACCAGTGCCTCACTGAAACAGTGAGGGGTGAGGCTGGGGGTGCAGGCAGAGGGGCCTGCTGCTGGCTGGGGGCTCTCTGAAGAGGGAGGACAGCGGTGGGAGGGACATCCCACCTTCAGAGAGATATCAGCACCAACAGGTGAGAGGAAAGTATCAACTACACCAGGAACAAGGGATCCTTCTGGGGGAAGACAAGAGGCTCCCTGATGTTACTCCCCCCTTGAGACTAAGAACAGAGGTATCTGGGGTGGAGGCAAGAGGCAGGGGAGAAAGTGTGGAGAGGAACAGGCAGGGCCTCTGGCTTTCTTCTTGAATTAAAAGCTCAAGTCACCGCCATGAGATCAAGAGGTCAAGCTTAGAATGCAGCAAAGTCTGAGAGCCCAGAGAAGCAGGCATCCCCATGGCAGCCCCCAGGACACCTGGCTGGTCCTGTCCGCCCTCCCTGACAGCAATGGAGAGAGGCAGCCTTCCGGTTGGCCGGTCCCTGGACAACTCCACTCTGTGGATCTACAAGCATGTGGCTAGAAAGAGCTTCCCTGTATCTTGGTGTAGAAGGCCTATGCAGTCTCCACGCAAGCGCCATCCATGAGATCGAGGAGTAAGGGAGCCAGGGTCTCTCTGAACCAGGGTCTCTCTCTCTTGCTTTGCACTTGGATCATACAAAGTCCAGTCCTCTTTGGGGCCCAGCAGACCCCAGACCAGGACTCTTAAAACTTTCACAAGAGTGGATAAAACATTCCATTTGTCCAGGGAAGGGGAAGGTCCATCAGGAATCCAACTGTGGGGAAGTAGGGGAACCTTCTGAGTGGAGTGAGGAGGCAGCCACAAGAGAGGAGCTTCCTGCCGGCCCGCAGTGGTCTTCCTGTAGCACCCTCTCCCTCCATTCCCTCCTGGCACTCTGCTCTTCCAAGAGAGAGGAGACGGGGCAGCGTGGACCACTCCTCCCCAGGGTTCTGTGCTCTTAGGGTGCCACCTGGTACATACAGGGTTGAGGAGACCACAGCTCTTAGGGCACCTGGCAAGTGACGTGAGACCAGGGGAGAAGACAGGCCTTAGGAGAGCAGGTTCTGACGTAAGTGGCTCTGGGAGTTCAGTGACAGCAGCCGCCACAGTGCCCACCTGCGTGGGAGTGCTGGCTGTCCCCAAACTTGGTTCTCCGGCTCAGGATCTCATAGGAGCAGTCTTCCCCACAGCAGCCAGACATGCTGGGAGAAGAGTCATCAATTTCAAATCTGCAAGGTAGACAGGAGAAAGAGCTGACTGCAGGCAGCTGAATGCCTTCCTCCCTAGCCTGAGAACTTTCCAACAGTGCCACTGATGAGACCCCTGGAACCAATGTGCAGGGGACCAAGTCAAAGGACACTGACGTACTATCTTACCAATGCCAACCTCCCATGCCCCAATGGACTGTGAATGGGGGCTGGAACCAGGAATGCCGCACAGGGACAGTGCCTCTGACCACCCAGAAGGACCACGTCAGGGCCCAGCTCCTTACTGTAGTGCTTCTCGGAAGAACTGGTAGGCACCGTGATTGTGTTTAAATACTGTTAGCATCACCTTCTTCATCTGTGTACTGCAAGAAAGCAGAACAGGAGCTTAAGAAGCTTTTCTCTTTTCTTTTTCTTTTGGTACTTGGGATTTAAGGCACGGGTGCTTTACCACTGAGCCACATCCCCAGCTGCCCCCCGACCTTTTTTAAATTTTGAGATGGAATCTTAACAAGTTACCTAGGGCCTAAGTTGCTGAGGCTGGCTTTGAACTAGCAATCCTCCTGCCTCAGCCTCCGAGTAGATGAGATTACAGGCCTGCGCCACCGTGCCCAGCAGAGCAAGTACTTTTTAGAAAGAGTCAAGGCCATGCCTCCTCTCCCTCATGTCCTTGCTACTTTCCCCTAAATTAACCCAAAAGGAGTCCCCAAGTCTCTTGTCCAGCCTGCAAAGACCCTAGGTACTACAGCACTCAGTGTTTCCCTCCACAGCAGAGTGGTCAGACTGCGCCAGGATCTTCCCCACCCTTTCTCTGTAGCCCCATTACTTAGGCTCAGAACTCAGCACAGATCAGGCCCTGAAAAGATGCTCCCAGGGCTGGGGCTGGGGCTGAGCGGCAAAGCACTTGCCTAGCACAGGTGAGGCACTGGGTTCAATTCTCTGCACCGCATATAAGTAAATAAATAAAATAAAGGTCCACTGACAACTTAAAGAAATGCTTCCCGCTCTGAACTGAAGGACAAAATTGGAGTCCAGCAAGGCAAGGAGCAGGATACTGAACAGATTCTAGATGCTGTCTCCAGAACATTCTTATGATTTGTCCTCCAAGGAGACTCAAAGAACAGTGGACTCAGAGGTAGCTCTTTCCAAAAGACCCATACAGGATCTCCTAAGAAGGTGGCCCTTTTAAGGTCCTTACTTAGCACCTGGACGGCCATCTTAAGTGAGAGCCGCCATTTTAAGAAAAATTCTGCTTTCCCTTGGGTATTCCTGAGAAAGGCTCACCACTTCCTCGTACCAATCTCATCCTTAACCACCCACATTAGGACCTGCCCAGCTTTAATCCCTGAGCCTGCCCCATAAAAGTCCTGAACCCCAAGCCTGTTTCGCCTCTCTCCGTCTATGGAGAGATGGCCTTTATTTGTCAGCTCTGACAAATAAACTCTTGTGTGGATCTCTGCCTGGTCTCCATCTTTCACTTCTCACTCACCGTCTCCGGGTTCCTTGCTTTCTTTTCAGCCCTTACCTGTTGGCCATAAGCTGCAGGATCTGTATGAGGAACTTCCCCAGGCCTTTCCGCCGCACTTTGCTCTCCAACTGCACTTCATAGCTGGAATAAGGAAGCAGAGGGTGAGTGCAGGTTGCTGCATGAAGGGGCTGCAAGGCCCATCAGAGGAGCCTGCAGTCCCTGCAGCCCAGACCCAAAGGCTTTTGCCACGTGGTCTCCTCCCCTTGGCTGCGCCCCCAGGCCCTGGCTCCTACCAGTACAGGACTTCATCCCCGCACTCCACGTCAAATCGGAAGTGAGAAAAGGCAACAGGCACAGAACTGTTCTCCCAAGCAATGAGATACCACGCTCGGTCGTCCGTCATTTCCTCCCGTTTCTCTCGGTCTTTCCAGCCCCACTCACTCTGCTCATACCTGAGGAATTCAGGAGCAGTCAGGACAGGAAGGCTTGGGGAAAAGCCAGCTGGGAACAAGGCTCCCCTCTGGTCAGCCCTGCTTACATGGTTTGCATATTCGTTTTGGTCAGGTCAAACGCCCAGTCCACGGTGGCTGGCTCCAGTCCAGACACCCGCTTACATTCAATGGAGACATTCAACCTGAGAAGAGGACAGGGAGGTGTGAGAGCTGGTCGAGTCTCTGCTCCTGCCAGGGCACTGCATTCCACCCTGCAACTCTGACAGAGAGGTGCGCCTGATCTCAGTTACCATTTTGGGTTGGATATGTGGTGTCCCCCAAAAGCTCAGGTGCAAGAATGTTCAGGAGTGACATGACAGGGTTGTGAGTTGCAATCTAATCTGTGGTAACCCCCCACTATGGATCAACTGGGTGGTAACTGGAGCAGGTATGAAGTGGCTGGCAAAGGGAAGTCACCGGGCTTCAGTTCTGTCCCTGGTGAGCAGAGCTCTCTGCTTCCTGATCGCCTTGTCCGGAGCTGCTGTCCTCCTCTAGCCCTTCAGCCATGATGCGTTGCCTCACCTCAGCCCAGGGCAGTGGAGTCGGCCCTCTGTGAACTGAGACCTCTGAAATCATGAGCCCCAAATAAACTTCTCCTCCACATTGTTCTTGTCAGGTCTTTTGGTCAGAGAGACAGAAAAAAGCTGACTAAAACACTCTCCCAAGAGAAGCCAAGGTGACTCCAGACATGACTGAAGAAGGTGCCTTTCGGGCCGAGATCAACAACTGTCATTGCCACACCTGCCACCTAACCACAGGGCCCTTCTCCTGCCTCCCCTGCCGGGTCCTTATCAGACTCAGTACTCTGTCAACCTCTTGTTCCTCTCTGCTACCTCTACTGCTCTTTTCCTACCCACTGGGCCTCTTGTTTTTGTTATAAACACTAGCGTCTGTTTGTCCCTTAGCTCCTGCCTTCAGGCATTCTTCCTGTTGCTTTAATTCTGCACTGACTATTGCTGGTCTCCCACAGGCTCTCTTCCTTCTCATCTATACCAATCTGGCCTTCAAAACCAATTGGATGACCCTGGGTTCTTCAAGGCAACTACAGGTCAATACCCCTCAAGAAGCCCCACCTGCCTCTTCATCTGAGGACTCAGGGGGTATTCTCAGTTGATTAAGAGGGTAGTACAGGGTGTAATCCACCATTGTTTTCCTAAACTAACAAATTCTATAGGTATTAAGGTATTTGTTTCTTTCCTTTTTTTAGTCCTGGGGATTGAACCCAGGGATACTTTACCTCTGAGCTATATCACCAACCCTTTTTATTTTACTTTGAGACAAGGTCTCACCCAAATTGCTGAGGCTGGCCTCAAACTTGTGATACTCCTGCCTCAGCCTCCAGAGTTGCTGGGATTACAGGCATGTGCCACCATGCCTGGCAGGTATGTTTCTAAAGGAAATTTAAGTAAAATAAAGTTAAACTCCCCAGTAAATCTATGAAATAGCATTCTATAAGTAATGACATTCTGGACAGCTACTTTTCCTTTCTTTCTTTATAGTGAAAAACTTACTTTGGAGTCAGGAGGCAGTAATGACACCTATCACATTGCTAGGACCTCCCCCAGCCACCTCCACCTTCATCCAGATCTGTAGCCTCTAAAGCTCCCAAGTGATACATTTCCACCTCTGAGAGGCAAAGAAGCACCCATTGTGAATGGACTGGAATCAGCAATATGTAAGCCTTTAAGGAGCAACACGTCCAAATCTTTCAGGGGCCTCTCATGCCAACTCCAGGGGATGCTCCCACTGGAATTCACCATATCTCAGCTGACTGGCATTGCCCATGTGCTTAGACTAGTAAACGAAGAACCTCCTACTCCTTTAAGAATCTTTCTTTTTAAGTACTAATCACACAGCAGTAAGAATTGCCCCAATACAGCACTGCTTCTGTTTTAGCCATAAAAGGTCCAAGGCCAGTCTGCAGAATTCCTCCACTAAATCTGTGTTCAGTAAGTTTGTGAAAGTAGGAGCATGGCCACAAGAATCACACAAAATTCCAGGCATCGGAGGAACCTAGAGTCAACTGGAAAGGTGCTTCCAAGTTATTCCCTGTTTCTGGAAGTCAGTGAGAACACACAGACATGGAAACACTAAAGGATACCTCAGGAAGGGATCTCTAAACCATGTCAAAGGACTTCCCAGAAGCTGAAAGACAGTGCCTTCAGGAAGTGTAACATGTTTGCTCACAGATAGGAAGACATCAGAATAAAGGAATACTATGGTGCCGTGATACTGTGAAACACAGCCACGAAAAGCAAACAACACTGCCAGCTTCATAATTTACAAATCTGTGTCTCTCTTGTTCATTAAAATACTCATATTTGCTGCTACTTTCTGTACTGAATAGATTGTCCCTCCTCCTTAAAACAACCCTGAAGGTTGGCATCATCATCATCCTAACTGACAAGTAAGAAAATGAGGCTTAAGAATTACAACTGAGGGGCTGGGGATATAGCTCAGTTGGTAGAGTACTTGCTTCACATGCATGAGGCCCTGGGTTCAATCCCCAATACCAAAAAAAAAAAAAAAAAGAATTACAACTGAGGGCTGGGGTTGTGGCTCAGCGGTAGAGCGCTCACCTTGCACAAGCGAGACCCTGGGTTCGATCCTCAGCACCACATAAAAATAAATAAGTGAAATAAAGGTATTGTGTCCAACTACAACTAAAAAAATAAAAACTTAAAAAAAAAAGAAGTACAACTGAGGGGCTGGGGCTGGGGCTGAGCGGTAGAGAACTCGCCTAGCATGTACAAGGCCCTGGGTTCAATTCTCAGCACCACATAAAAATAAAGAGTTAAAAAAAAAAAAAGAAGAACAACAACAAATGAATTACCCAAGTAGGTTTAATAAGAGGCTCTGCTATGATTCAACCCATAATCCCGGGAAGCCACAAACCCTGTTTCCTCAAGCCAAGATATTCCATTTCAGAAATTTAACTCAGCAACACCATCTCAGGTAAAACAGATTATGCTTCCTATTTTCTAAAACCAAAGGACCTAAAACAAGAGAGGGCCTTTAATCCAGATCATACAGCAAATCAAATCAGGGTCACAACAATTAATACTTATCTAACTTTCAGTGTGCCCCAGGAAGCAATCCACTTGACAACCCCCTGAGGAAAGCTCTATTATCAGGTCAATTTCTGATTAGAAAATTAGGGGACAGGGGCTGGGGGTGTGGCTCAGTGGGAGAGCACTTGCCTAGCATGTGTGAGGAACTGGGTTCGATCCTCAGCACCACATAAAAATAATATATAAAATAAAGATGCTGCAACCAACTAAAATAAATAAATAAACAAATAAATGAATGAATGTCTGGAAAAGAAAGAAAGAGAGAGAGAGAGAGAAAGGCATCGTGTCTATCTACAAATGAAAAAAAAAATTAAAAGAAAATTAGAACACAGAAAAGGTAAATAACTTGTTCAGGGTCACACAGCCACTACAATTATACTATATACTCAGGAAAAATACACTGGACTTGGAATAAAAAGTCCCTTTGGCTGTGAGGGGGAACTCCAGAAACCTCATTCAACTTCTCTATGCCTCAGTGTCCCACGACGTTCCTATAAAATGAGAATGTCAGCCTGGGCAATTTTCCAAGTTTATTTCAGCTTTTATTATTCTTCTTACAGAGATAAGAGTTAAGTCCTAAAGGGACATCAATCTGAGATTAAGTGTAAAATCTTTGTCTATTTACCAATTCCTGTGTCACCCTAATGGGGACTTCACAGCAACAGAAGGCATTAGCCAATTTCTGCTTTTCCCTTTTCTTTTTTCTCAGTACTAGCAACTGAACCCAGGGCACTCTACCACTGGGCTATGTCCCCAGCCTTTTTTATTTTTTGCTTTTGAGACAGGGTCTCAGTAAGTTGCTAACACTGGCCTTGAACTTTCGATCCTCCTGCCTCAGCCAGCCCACTGATATTACTGAGATTACAGGTATGCACCACTGTGCCCGGCAATTTCAAATCTAGATCTGAGAAAGCCTATTCTAGAGAAGTGAATTCCTGAAGACAATCAAGGAGACAACTTCTGAGAATGTTAAGTACGACTCACCCGTTCCGGTCATATTTCTTGAACACTGGGAAAGCCTCCAGAGGGTCTCCAAGCTGTGGAGGGAAAGGAGAGGAGTAGCACAGACAGGTGGGTGGAAGTGCTGGCCCTGCCCCCAAATCCCTGCTGCCTGAGAGTAGGATGCCACAGGGACTCCTGAGGGGAGGAGAGCTCCTGGCCCCAGAAGCAGCTTTCCCAGGGCCCTCCATCTGCCTAAATTCTGAAATTACATGGAGGAGGGAAACTTTGGTCAAGAGGCACAGGAGTTAAGTTTAGCTTCACCTGACAGGGTAAGAACAGACTTCACTGGCCTATGGGGCAGAATACTGCTCACAGTACAGCTAACACAGAGGCCACAGGATTTGCTCCTATCTTCACCTACTCAAATCTCCAAATTGAAAAATCAGTCCGAAGCTGTGTTCTTGTAGATATGCAATTTTGATTATGAGAGAACTACAAGAATAATAAAAAGGAGCTGGGTACAGTGGCACACGCCTATAATTCCAGTTACACAGGAGGATGGCAAGTTCAAGGCGATCCTGGGCAACTTAGCATGACCTGCTTCAAAATAAAAAATAAAAAGGGCTGGGGATGTAGCTCAGTGGTAGAGCATCATTGGATTCAATCTGAAGTACTGCAAAATAAAAACAAATAAATAAAAATAAAAGAATAACAAAAGGTGAGATATGGGCTGGGGCAGAAGGATGGTCAGAATTTCTCAGGTTCAGTTTGGAGGCTGTGGCCACCAGGTTGCTCCCAGTCAGCCCATCTGGTACTGATTCACAGACACTCCTCCTGTGACTGGGGCCCCTGGAGGATTAGGCTGCTGCGTCCCCTTGGCCCAGCACAGCCTGAACAGTAAATGTCTGCAGGAATGAATGAGAAAACTCATATCATGTTTCACTAGGGAGGAATTCTCCCCAAAATGTGAACTCCTAACAAAAATTTCTCGAGGCTCTCTACTATCAGTAAGAGAAACTGCCACTGCCACTGGGATCCACATCTCCCTGTACAACTGGGCCAACTGCTGGCACCTCTTTTCAACTCTCCCTCAGCAGGTAGGAGGCAGAGGACAGGTGAGCAGTGTCACGATTCTGCCACATGGTGGCACCAAAAGAAGTCAAATTAAAAAGCAAGCTGAAGTTCCAATAGGCAGAAGTGAAAAGAAGAGTCACCCTGTTGGCGGCATCCACTTTGGCACAGACAGCATCCATGGCTGCACGTTCCTCCAGCCGCTTCTGCTTCTTCTCCTTTGCTTTGCTTGACTTTCTCTGCAACAGGGAAAAGCCACACTGGTTGGAGGAACTGAGGACTAGCAAAGAAAAGACTTGACTTTCCCTTTAAGAAATCAAAGGGTCCCTGCGACCACAGGCCTGGCCCAGCAGCAGGAAGCCTCCCACCCAGAAGGCCAAACACTTGGTGTGTGACTTAAACAGGGAACACTGTTTCCTTGTCATGAGCCCTAAGCGGTGTCACTAGACTTCCTTTCAAGAAGAATACTGACCCCAATCACTGTGAGGACCCTGCAGCAGAGAAGGCCCCCTGCAGTGATGAATATCCACTCATGTGCTCCCTTGTGAGGTGGAAACACCCAATTTCAGGCCCATTCGGGGCAGCTTTCGGGAGATGGCATCTGAGGTAGCCACTAACAGCTGTTTCTAAGTGTAAGTTTATGCAAAGACTTTTGGGTATCTTCTGGCCACAAGAGACAAAGGTATGACTGGGGGTAGTCCTGTGGGAGCTAGGTCATCTTTCAGAGCAAGGACCAGGGAACTGTGAATACAGAGCCATTCCCAGCAGCCCTTCTCAGTGTTAGGCATACTGTTCACTTAGCGATGAGGGCAGAGTGAAGGGCCCCAAGGGGTTCGCCTCAGGCCAAAGGCGATGCTGCCAGTCAGCAGGACCAAGTGGTGGGTACACAGGCAGCAGGGGAGGGGAAAAGGGAGGCTCCCTGAGCAGAGGGGCAAACAGCAAGCTGCCCACAGCTATAGATCCTGTTCTGAGGCTAACATGAGGTTCTCTCTTCCTCTGGGGAAGAGCCAGGCTCGGGATTCTGACACAGCTCCTGCAAAGCCTCCTGTCCCTCCAGGTCCTAGGAGGACATGGCCCTTCTCTGAAGCCCCTTCCCTGGTCTGAGAGAAAGTTAATACCTCCATGATGGTATTAACACCAAGATGGTTATATGACAGGTGCTCAAAAAATGATGGTACTCATTCTCACAAGGACCAGACAGCATAGCAGAGGAACTGACCCACCCAGTCCAAGTACCCCAAAGGCCTGGGCAAGCTGGTTCTGCTCTTACCAACAGCATGGCCTCTCCAACACCAGCCTTCCTCTCCCAGAGCTCACTGGAGAAAGGTTTTGACAAGCCACAATTACAGTCTAGCCCTGACACTGGCCCCAGGAAAGGACACACAGCGATTAACATGCGCTTGAGTCAAAGAACCAGCTGCTAGGAAAAGTTTCTCAGGATAAATTCTGCCCCAGCAAATTTCTAAGAAATGACACCGCTTAACTCCTACTTCAAACAACAAGAAGCAGAGCCCAAACATCAGGAATTCACAGGGATTGATCTTAGAAGCACAAACCCCACCAGAGCCAGCTAGTAACTGTCTGGCTGAGCACTTTTTGCAAAAGGCAGTCTAGATCCCATTTTTCAGCTGCCTAGAGAAAAGGACAAACAGAAAATAGCCTGTCCTCAAGAGGCTGCAATCCAGATGCAGACCCACTCTCTCTCTACCTCGGGTAAGTTTTACAACATCCATATTTTTCTCTGTGAATTTAGGTTGTAAGACAACATTCAGACATTCACAGATTGCAAAGTACTTGCAAAAACATTATGTCACTCAGTTGCAGAGTGCTTGCTAAGCATGCCCAAGGCCCCAGGTTCAATCACTAATACCTCAAAACAAACAAACAAACAAAAACTCAGTATGCAATTCAAATCCCAGAGCAGAAACCATCACCTCCCTTTACACATTAGGAAACTGAGGCTCAAGGCCAGGAGTGGTGGCAAATACCTATAATCCCAGCAAGTTGGATGGCTGAGACAAGAGGATCAAAAGTCCGAGGCTAGTCTTTGCAACTTAGTGAGACCATGTCTCAAAATAAAAAGGGCTCAATGGTAGGCACCCCTGGGTTCAATCCCCAGTACTGCAAAATAATGATGATGATGATGATGATGATGATGATGATAATGGAAACTGATGCTCAAAGAGATGAAGTGACTCTCCTGGACAGTAAGTGCCTGAAGGGAGATCCAACCCCAAGAGTGAGGCCATAGATCCAGGGTTTGTTTCACCAGCCCCACTGTCTCCCAGTAGGATAGCCTATGTCTAATGTGATAGGACTCCACTCAGTCATTAAACAAAGATCTTCTCACATCCTGCCAAGACCAGGGGCCTCAGAAGCACTCAGCAGCACCTGGCAACAGCTTGCCAACAGAGCACACCTAGGCCCTGCCCTCCAACTGAAGCAAATGGAGAGAAAGCCCAGTCAGAGGGTCTCTGGGGCTGCACAATGGGGCAGAATAACATGAGCTTTAGCATCAACCAGATCAGGCCAATGGCTGTCCTGCCACCCACAGCATGACTTGTGAAAGCAACTCATCTCCAGCAAGACAGGAATGTAAAGCTGGCCTCACGGAGGAGATGCAGGAAGGTCAGACACCAGCACACCTTCGCAACAGAGGCAAGCTCCCTTCCTCCACCCCTAACACAATGTAGAGCAAAAGATGAAAGGTGCTGGTAGGCAAATGTGACTCCCAGGACCCAGAAAGCATTGATACTTGGGTTCCCACCGCAGCATCTCATTTCTAAGCAAAGAAGTAATTCCTAAGCACAAGCAGTAGGAGGGCCACCCAGGCCTCCAGGTGATTTACTGTCTCATTCACACTCAGGAACTGGAAAGCCAGAGGATCCTCAGAGTGAGGCTTGGTGCTGCTGTGGCCTGAGGCTGAGATAACTGAGTATGCCTTAAGCATTTTGCAGCCTGAAGAACACAGGGCAGAGGTGGGAGGCAGGCTGCAGCAGGCTGAGCCAGGCAGACGACTCTCCCTTAGACCCAGCAAGCAAGCACCAGGAAGAGTGGTCTCCTACTGTTCCAACTAGCTTTGCCCCTGCCTTGTGGAGGTAAGGCTGTCCTGCAGGGACATAGGAAAACTCTCCTAATTAAAATGGGAAATAAGTAAGTGAACAGTAAAGCTCATTGTGGCTAAGTGTCTCTCCCATGGGAACTTTATATAATAAAAGAGTGTAGGCTTTTGAGTCAAGAGACCTGGATTTGATTCTCAGCTCTTTCACTTAATAGCTGTATGACTGTAGGCAATGGAAAACCTTTACAGCAAGTTACTCCGTTTCTCTGAACCTCAGTTTCTTAATCCATAAAATGGGGCTAACAATGCCTACACTATTGGCCAAGAGACTGCTGTGAGGACAAAATGGTATAACACACTGCATATAAAAATCCTTCATACTGTGAAAACAACCAGAGATATGAAAAATTGTGCTCTATATGTGTAATATGAATTGTAATGCATTCTGCTGTCACATATAACAAATAAAATAAATAAAAGCAGAGAGACTCCACTTGCCAGAAACAACATACCCCAAAGGCAAGACCCCAATGCCCACCTCCTCCAGCCACACCTTACTCGCCTTCAGTTTCCACTCAATCCCATCAGGGGATTAATTTACTGATTGCATTAAGGATTTCATAACCCAGTCAAAAAAATCCTTCATACTAACATCTTTTGTCAGTTACAAGGACCCACTAGTGTTAGCCACTGCCAGTGCTTTCATAAATATCATCTGTTTTGGGGCTGGGGTCATAGCTCAGTTGATGGAGTGCTTGCCTCACATGTAAAGGCCCTGGGTTCAATCCCCAGCACCACAAAAATAAATAAATAAATATCATCTGTTTTAATAGGCTGTAGTAGTTCACACCTGCAAACCAGTGATTCAGGAGGTTGAGGCAGGAGGATCGCAATTTCAAATCCAGCCTCAGCAACTTAGTAAGGCCCTAAGCAATTTATCGAGGTCTTAAGAAACTTAGCAAGACCCTGTCTTAAATAAAAAATAAAAACAGGCTGGGGATGTGGCTCAGTGGTTTCAAGCACTGCTGGGTTTAATCTCCAGTACAAAAATAAAAGAAAAAAAAATCTGAAGCACAGAGAGGCGGAGAAAGGGTCACAGAGCCAGTAAGCAGAGTTCTCAGCAGTCTTCCTACACCTTCCCACTGGACTGCACTCCATGAGGCAGATCTAGATCCGCTTTATTTGCCAATGTATACTAGGTGCTCAGCCAACAGTAAGTACTTAGTTCCTATCTGTTGGATGAATTATCTAAGACTCAAATCTAGGTTTGAGCCACAAAGACCATGCTCCTCCCACTGTATCACATATGATACTTGTTAAAAAGTGCTATGTAAGCAGGAGCAAGGGCACATTCTTGTAATCCCAGAGACTTAGCTAAAGCAGAAAGATCCCAAGTTCAGGACCAGTCTCAGCAACTTAAGCAAGACTGTCTCAAAATAAAAAACCAAAAAGAACGGGGGAGCCGGCATGGCAGTGCACACCTGTAATCTCAGAGATTCAGGACGCTGAAGCAGAAGGATCAGAAAGTTCCAGGCCAGTCTTAGCAACTTAGTGAGACCCTAACTCAAAATAAAAAAGAGGTAGGGAGCTGGGCTTGGTGGCGTACACCTGTAATCCCAGAGGCTTGGAAGGCTGAGGCAGGAGGATTGCAAGTTGAGACAGCCTCAGCAACTTAGCGAGGTCCTATCTCAACACTACTCTCTCTCAACCTGAGGTCAGGAAAACAGGGCCCTCTACCCAAGCGTGACCACTAGGAATAATGAAGTCCTGTCATCAGGTGACAGAAAGTCCCAACTAAAGTAGAATAAGGATAATTGAGAGGGTTCCAGCTCTGCAGCTTTGATTCAAGTAGGATAACTCAAATCTCTCTGTTGCTGTAAGGTGGTGGTAGATGTCATTATTTTTTGCTATTGGGGAGTGACCCCAGGGGTGCTCTACCACGGAACTATACCCCCAGTCCTTTTAGTTTTTACTTTGAGACAGGGTTTTGCTATATTGCTCAGTCTGGCTTGGAACATGCTATCCTCCTGCCTCAGCCTCCCAAGCTGCTGGGATTACAGGAATGGGCCACCACAACTAGCTTCTTGCTGAGTTTTAAGCCAGAAGAGACTTTTCAGGGGCTGCTCTAAGAAACATGTCTATAAAGTATGAGTAATAAGACTGGGGCCTAAAGGAAGCAAGGTTTGCAGTATCTCTAAAGCCTGATATTTCAGCTCAACCAATGAAGAAGTGTTAAACCAGAATGGCACCTTATCCTTGTTTTTGGCTCAATATTTAATGACTCACTCTGGGTAGACATAAGTGATACTAGAGACACAGGTTTCCTTTAGTTCCAATAGCTGGGGTCTGGGACCTTTATAGGTTAAAGTCTCCAAACTTGATTTTCTAGATATAAAATATACAAGGACCCACTAGTGTCAGACTAGTACTCCAAATTTCTCATCAAAATATGACAAATGGGGGCTGGGGATGTGGCTCAAGCAGTAGCGCGCTCGCCTGGCATGCGTGCGGCCCGGGTTCGATCCTCAACACCACATACAGACAAAGATGTTGTGTCCGCCAAATACTAAAAAATAAATATTAAAAAAAATTCTCTCTCTCTCTCCCTCTCTCTCCCTCTTTCTTTAAAAAAAAAAAAAATGACAAATGTTTGTTGACGGGGGTTGGTGCTGGGGATTGAATGCAAGGCCTTGCACATGCTAAGCACATGTTCTACCACTGAGCTACATCCTCAGACCCTAAAAGATTTTTTGTTTTGTTTTGCAGTACTGGGAATGAACCCAGGCCCCCAGGGATCCTGGGCAAGGGCTGTACCACTGAAGGACACCCTCAGCCCTGGAAAATCTGTTTTGACATGGACAAGGCAATTATTTTTGTCTAAAAAGTTATCTGTTCAGTCAATAAATATTTGAGTAAGAGAAAAAAATCTAGGTTAATAACAGTAGGGACAAATCCAGTGTGTTAAAAATAGCACCAACTTATTTTAGCCCACTCAAGTAAAGGCTGAGAATACAGGCAAAAATAACCACCACTATTTTTGAGGTACCTACTTGGTTATTTACTTCCTTTAACTCCTTTTATCTTCACTAGGACTCTAAGGGGGAGGTATCATCACCCCCAATACATAGGTGAGGAAATTCAAATCCAAAAAGGCCACGTCACTGGCACAATGTCACACTACTAGCCAATGAAGATGGCTAGTAGGGGCACCGAGGCATCTCTGGTTCCAAGTCAGGGTTCCCTTAAGGTGGTGGGAATTCCATGTAAATACCAATAATAGAGGGAACCAGTTATCCTTTTAGGAGAGTGACTGGTACTTCTCAAATTGGGCTTTAGGTGAGCTCAGAAACATGGAATTACTTCTACCCAACCCTATATCTCTATATGCCAGGAAAGGGCACTGAAATATTAGCACCTCCCTGCTATCAGCACAGAACAGGTGGTCAATGGCCATCACCAGCGGTCCCCCATCTTCCCCCATGAAAAGCCACCTGCAGCGCTAAGACGACTGGCCACCGGGCCTGCATGGGACGGGAAGACGAGGTTTCACCAGGGCAGGAGGAGCACTGTGGAGAGCTTTCAACAGCGCAGCAACGGGCTACACTGAGACTCGAGGAGCGGGAGCCACTGAGGTGGGGTCTGCAGCCCCAGGCACTGCCTGGGTGACCTTGGCCGGGACGCCCTCTTTCCTCCTGGCCTCAGTTTCCTCCCAGCCAGGATTGGCGTCCGAATTGGGCAGCCGCTTCGCCGGTGACAGCCGGGTGATGCGGGACCCCGGGGAGCAGGGGGCTACACCGCGGGGACCCGCAGGTGGGGAGGCCGGTAACGGGTCTCCCAGGCAGGAAGGGGCGGGCATGAAACGAGGGGCAGGGGGCACCGAGGGGGAGGGGCCGGAAAGGGGGGCTCTCGGGGATTCCTGGGCTAGGCTGAACTTGGGGACCCTCAGAATGGGGGAGTTGGGTCATGTGGGGGCTGGGGGTCACGTGAGGCCTGAGGGGGCCTGGGTCACGTGAGGAGATTCAAGAAACAATGGGGGCGAAGGGGGCGAGGGTTACGAGGGGCGTCCCTGGACCTCCTGTGCCCTCTCCCTGTCCAACTCACCCCCATGGCGGTGGCAGCGGCGGCGACCCTCGGCTCCTCCTTCACACACTTGCAGGCAGGGAGGCGGCAACGGCTGCTGCGGCAGCGGCGGCGACACCAGAGCGGCGGGTCTTGCACTGCGCAGGCGCCCCGAGAGCTCCCCCGCGCGCCCAGGCGGGCACCGCGCCGGCGCAGAACGGGAGATGGCGAGCGAGGAGAGCGCGCAGGTGGAGCGCCCGCCAGGACGGCGGAGGGTCTCGGACCAGCAGGGCGGGCGGCGCAGAGGAGCGTCGCGCTGGGAATGACGTTTCCGTCGGGCCCCACCTCCTCGCCAGGCTGCGTCTGTAGCTATGGCAACGGCCGCGCGGAGCTTGGCGGAGCGCCCTTCCCAGAAGCGCCGCGCAGCTGGGCTGCGAGGTGGGTGGCAGCGCCTCCCTGAGCTTGGTGCCTCCACCGCCCTGCGCGGAGCAGCCGCTTCTACAGGCCAATCGCGTCCCGACCTCTGAAATACCGACTTCTCCAGAGCCTCTCAGGCACCGCGGAAGACTTTGGAAGCTTTCCCACCCTCCAGAGCTTGGCTCTAGGAATTCCTTTTCTAGCCCGAGTCCTGTTATTCATTCACCCGCCGTCTAATCATTCACTCGCCCTCCATTCATTTGCTCGCGCCGAGTCCAGGGGCACACCGCACCGCAGCGAGAAGCCGGAGAAGCCCTCGCCGCCCGAACTTCGCTGTTTACAGGGAAACAGGATCTAATGATTGCTTGAGTTGTTTTAACGCCGCCGCTAAAATGAGACCTCAGGTGTCCTGGGTAGTATTCATTTCAATCTGTCCCCACAGCCGGGAGGGTGGACCCCCATGACCTGCATGGGAGTCACCTGGGGAGTGTGTGCTGTGTGCAAACCCCTGGGACTACCCCGGGAATCCCCGAGGCATCCAGAGTCCCAAGTAGAGGGACTCTACCCCGGTAGAGGTGTATTCAGAGAATTAGAGAACCGCTACTCAAGACTCCACAGACTTTATCGGGTTTGTTTTTTTTGTTTTTTGTGTTTGTTTTTTGTTTTTTTTTTTTTTTTTGGTACTGCGGATTGAACCCATTGAGCCATATCTCCATCCCTTTTTATTTTTTATTTTGAGACGGAGCCCGTTAAGTTGCTGAAGCTGCCTTTGAACTTGCAGTCTTTCTGACTCAGTTTCCTGAGCCGCAGGAATTTCGGGTGTTTATCACCTTGCCCGGCACTTTATTGGATTTTATTATTCCACCTTCAGTGCTCAGTGCAGTGGTGGCTCCAGCAACATTTATTGAATGCCTATTGTATGTTAGGCACTATTCCAATCAGCAAAGAAATAACACCAAGCTAGGTGTGGTGGGATGCACCTGTCGACCCAGATACTCTGGAAACTGAGGCAGGATTGTTTGAGCTCAGGGTTTCTAGCCAGCCTGGGCAGCATAGTGAGACTGTCTCAAAAAGAGAGATAGAGGAAAAAATAATAATAATACCAAACAAAAAAGCCCTGTCCTTGCATCCTAGAAAGAGGCAGATCCAAGCCTGGGGCAAACACTTATAATCTCAGCAGCTCAGGAAACTGAGGCAGGAGAATTGCAAGCTCAAAGCCAGGCCCAGCAATTTAGTGAGGCCCTAAGCAACTTAGCAATACTTGTCTTAAAATAAAAAAATAGAAAGGACTGGGTTGTGGCTCGGTAGTTAAGTGCCTCTGGGTTCAATCCCCAGGGGAAAAAAAGTAAAAATAAAAGAAGAAAAAGAAAGAGGCAGATAATTACACAGTGCATTAAATGATATTCTATAAAGGAAAATAAAGCAAAGGAGGCTAGGCATCATGACACATACCTGTAATCCCAGTGACTCAGGAGGCTGAGGCAGGAGGAGCCCAAGTTCAAGGCCCCCTCTTTCTTTTTCAGGTGGTGCTGGGATTGAACCCAGGGCCTTGTGTAGGCAAGGCAAACACTCTACCAACTGAGCTATATCCCCATCCCAAGTGAAGCCCCATCTCAAATAGAAAAGGCTAGGGAGGTAACTTGGTGGTAAAGTGCCCCTGGGTTCAATCCCCAATATGGGGGGAGTACAGTGAGGCTGGTGCAGATTGGGTCAGCAGGAGAATAGTAGGAGGTAGAATTAGGCAGGTAAGGTGAGCATCATTTAGGGCTTGTAGATTTTGAAAGACTGGGATTTACAGTGAGCAAGGTCACTATTGGGAAGTTAAGTGGAGGAGTGGTAAGGGTGGCTTAATGTGTTTAGAGGACCACAAGCCTGCGGGTTGAGAAGACAGGTTAGGGGCAAGGCCATAGGAAGGACAGTTCAAAGGCCAGTGTAATTGAGGCCCCATAGCTGGATAGAGCAGATGTGTCAGAAGGCCTCAGGGAATGATGCATATGGGAAGGTAGAACCAGAACTTGCTAGCAGATTGTATATGGGGTGTGAGGGAAAGAGAAGGTAACTTCAAGGTTTTTAGCTTGAGCTGTTGGAAAAATGTCTTCCATTGAGATACAGATTATTTTATTTTTTTAATATTTATTTTTTAGTTATAGTTGGACACAATACCTTTATTTTATTTATTTTTATGTGGTGCTGAGGATTGAACCCAGGGCCTCGAACATGCTAGGCGAGAGCTCTCCTGCTGAGCCACAATCCCAGCCCCTGAGATACAAATGATTTTAGAAGGAGCAGGTTTTGGGGTGGTAGGGATGGGAAGTTGGTTTGGGCCACTTCAGGTTGGAGATGCCTTTTTTTAAATATATATTTTAATATCTTTATTTTGTTGTTTGTTTATTTTTATGTGGTGCTGAGGATCAAACCCAGTGCTTCACATGTGAGAGGCAAGCGCTCTGCCACTGAGCCACAAGCCCAGGCCCTGGAGATGCCTTTTAGACATTCTCACGGAGATGTGGAATAGTCAGTCGGCAGTTCAGGGGAGGGGTCCAGGCTGTAGATACAAATCTTAGCTCATTTAGCCACTTAGCATATGGAGGATATTCGTCTGGGGTTATAGCTCAGTTGGTAGAGTGCTTGCCTTACATGCACGAGGCCCTGGGTTCGATTTCTAATATCACAACAGCATATGGAAGGTATTATAAGCCCACAGAGAGAGCCGTAGGTGGACTTGAATGAATCAATGAGTCTTTTTTTTAACCAGGCTGGAGATGGAGCTCAGTGATCCAGTGATTGCCCAGCATGTGTGAGTCCTGGGTTTAATCCCCAGTGCTTCAAAAAAAAAAAAAAGAATCTATTGCAGCTGCTACCACTCTGGGGACCAGGAGAGGGTAGTAAGGACAGGACAAAGGTGGCCAACTGGGGAAAAGGGACATCTGAGCTTGTCCTTGAAGGAGAGGAGAGGAAGCATGAGATTCCAACAAAAGCAAGGTATTTGCAGAGCAGAGAGACTTGAAGGAGTCTGGGTAAGGACAAGGGACTGAGCCAGGCAGCCTTCACCCTGTTGGGGCTTTTCCTGTCTCCTTCCCCACACTGAACTTTATGGTCAGCTGTTCAGTGCAGATGACAGCCACAATGCTCCCGTTGTGCCCTGTCCCTTCCGCTACTCCCCACTCTTGGTCACCCTCCCCCAGGCTGCTAGATTTTATTTATTTATTTATTTAGTGGTGCTAGGGATGGAACCCAGAACCTGGAACAGGCTGGGCAAGAACTCCACCACTAAACTACATCCCCTACAGAGGAGACCTGGAAGGGGAGCCCAGTAGTCCCTTGAGGAGATGATATCATCTAGCCTCCCCTGCCCTCAGCCTGAGAAAGCCAATATCCTATTCCTGCCCCCAAATCAACACCCTTCTCTGTAGGGCTCTCCCCCTTGCTCAGGGCCTTCTTGGTCTTGGAGGGTGATGGGCAGAGCCTGCCTTGGAGGCAGACCAGCTTCCTGCTGCTTCCTGGCTTTTTGACATTAGGCAAGGTACTTAACATCTCTGAGACTCAGTTTCCTCACTTATGTGGAGACCATCAAAAGCAATCACCACCCTCATCACCACCCTCATCTGCATCTTCTCCCAGAGGTGGTTGTGAGAATTAAAAGGTGGATAGTGACATCAGACACCTGGTGAGGCCCGGGGCAGGAAAGGAATCCCCTCCCTTTCCCACCGAACATGGCCTTCAGTGAGGAGACTTTCTGCATGGCCCACTTAACCACTGTCCCAGCCCCTACTAAGGAGCTGAGCAGCCCTTGTTCATTCCCCTCCTCTCTGGACAGGGATGCTGTCCCTCCTCTCTCAGGGCTCCCTGGGTGACTCCTTGCCTCTGCTTCCCGAAAGATTGCATCGCCTTGCCTCTAACACTGCTGTTCCCCAAACCTGACACTCCACAGCCCTCAGCTGCTCCTATGAAGTCATTCATTCTCTGGCTCAGTCAAGTCCTGGGAACTACTGGGGCTTCTGTGTATTCTCCTGGGCCTGGGAACTGACAGGAGAGGCAGCCTGACTTCTCAAAAAGAATCTGAATCCCCCCCTCCCACCACCCATCATCCCCACCAGCCGCTCTGGGTCCCTTTCTGTGGCCACTCTGTCCCTCACTGGCTCCTGCTGGTTCCTGCAGGCTCTCAGGCCTCCCCTCCCCCCACAAGCTCTACTTCTATCTCACCATGCTCAGCGCACCACCCCTGAGGTCTGCACCCCACCTTCCCCTGTGGACACCCCCAGTGGTTTTTCCAACTCCAGTTGTACTTCTCGGTCTGGGACCTCATCTTCTGGCCTTGCCTGCCACATCTCACCCTGTTTTTCATGCCCTCTTTCCTTGGTTTCTGTGATACCACACACCCCCCATTCTCCATTTTTCTGAAATGCACATCTGGCTGGGTCAGTTAAGTCCATGCAGGGCTGCAAATTCAGCCCCTTCCCACCTCACCAGGGCCCCCCACTCCACGCCCTGGGTCTCAGCATCTCAGAATCTTACCATGGGCCTTCGCTGTTCCCTCTGCCAGAAGGCCTCTCCTTCCTCCTCCTCACCCTTCAGGTCCCAACTTAGATGGCAGGTGCCTTATCTTGCTCCACGTGGCATCTTCCTAGCCTCTCCCAATGCCCTTGCCATCTGCCCTGTTAAACTGTCAGTTCCCTGCAGTGGGGGGGTTGTGCTTTTCTCCTACACTG